GAACAAGTAAATCAAACTCTGGAACAATACCTCAGATACTACACTAACCCCTAAAAGACTAACTAGACTAAACTACTACTAATCACTGAATTCATATATAATAATACACAAAGTTCATCTACAAAAAAGACCCCTTTCAAACTGGTACTAGGAAGGAGGCCAACTATAGAAATGATACCTTATGAGGGAAATATACTTATAGTATAAGACTACTTGAAAGAACTAGAAGAAGTACAAGCAGAAGTACAAGACATGCTTAAACAAGCAAAAACCACTATAACCCTATATACAAACCTTAAACAAGAGCCTATACCTAATTATAAACCAAATGATTTGGTTTTAATTAATATGAAAAACTTCTCTATAGTATTACTAAAAAGAAAACTGGAAGTACAATACACTAGACCCTATCTGGTGGAACAAAAAATCAGAAACATATTATACTGATTAAAGTTACTAAAAACAATTACAGTCTACCTAGTGTTCCATACTTCCCTCCTAATACCTTACAGGAGTAAATCTTATCTAAGACAAGAAGCAATCATACAGCCCCCTCTAATAGAAGTCAACAGAACTCCAGAATACAAAGTTGAAAAGATAGAAGTAGTATAACAAACAAAACCAAACAAAATTGAATACTTGATCAAATGGAGGGGATACAGAGAGTATACTTGGGAACCAATTGAAAATCTATACAATACTACAGAACAACTCTAAGAATACTACTAAAATAGCCCCCAAAGTATCAAACCTAAACTAGAACCTTAATGGTTCTAAAAAGCTCTAGGAAAGTGCTGAACACTTAACCAAGTAATAAAAACACAAGGTCAAACAACTACAATATAAAAGAAGGACAAAAACAATAGTTAATAGTAGTAATAAGTAACCTAACAATTCACAACCTAGTCTAAACACTAACATACACTACTAACAATAATATGCCTTGTCTTGTAACTGTCCACCAAGACTATCACCTCCCCTTCTCCTACTACTCCCCTTATCTCTAATATTAATGACTGAACCAAACCCATCTCTACTTACTTGGCTGAAACTACATATCAAACTATACAGGACAATACTATGAATGAGAATTTAATAATTTTGTAGTAGCATATAGTGTACTCTTAATACTACAATATTAATACCTGCCAGCCCTACAAATCAAAGGAGAACACTTTCAATTCACTATTGAATGGGTAACAACATTAAATACAGTAGAAGAATTAGAATTCTTGTGTCTTACATACAAACTTGGCCACTACTTACAGTACTGAAATATTCTTAATGTTAACCACACATACAGTGTCAAGGTTTGCTTTAAGATTGCTTATACTACTCAGCAAATCACTTTGTTCAGACTGTAATTTAGTACATTCATAACCTTACATATGACTAGTGTACAAGCTACTCAAACTGTGACACACAAAATGCTCTACTACAACAAATACATTTAAGACACAACAGCTACATATTAGTGTGCATATAATTATTACACAGCCATGATTCAAGATATTATCCAAAAATGGTATAATACTCATCCACTCATTCAACCACCCTAGCTACCACCACTAAACACACAAAGTCCTTCAATTACAGAAATACAGAACTTGGACCTAGAACCAGAAAGTAAACAAGAAATGACTCTACATACACTAGTACTACTATACACTTTACTACTACAAATCCTGCCCCTACCAATGAGTGTACTACTTACAGTATGACAACTGGAGTAGGATGTCAGAATGCCAGAAAACCCACATCTACCCACCATCCTATTACTTACAGTACTACAATAAGAAATAAAAATTTAAAAAGAACTATTATTATAAAAATCTTTTGTTGTTGTAGATTTGTCAAGTTTGTTTCAGAAAGATTTCAGTAACTAATGGTACCTAATACTTCACAAAATACTGTAAGTATGAGTACTATAAGTATGAAAGCCTCCTAGGAATAAACTTACAAATTAGTATATACAAAAGAAATCATTTGTTAAAAACAACAAAAGGCAATTTTAAGAACTCTTACAAAACAATAGTTTGAAATACAATCACTAGAGCAACCTTAAGTAGAATTCCCTACAATTCTTGTATTAGAATCACTACAATCCCAAATCTGTCAGTTGTATGAAAGTAGAAATTACTACTACTTACTATATCAAGACATACAACAAGCAATCCATAATATCACCATACAGTATGCTGAATCTGAGAATCAAAAGTATATTCTATAGGGATCTATAGTACACTCTATCTGGAACCCAAACTGTAACTACAGTCTCAACCAAGAAGTGCTAGAACTCTAGCATTGTATTGTCTGTAATATTCATTACATTCAAGCCTAGACAAGGACTCAAACACAGAAGCATCCCTAAATGGAAACTTTGCAGCTTACCAGCTGTGTCAGTATACCTCTAAGGTAAGATTGACACTAAATACTTACTATATAAGGCTTGTACTACTCTTGCCTACACAGAACTACTTCTACTGTTGTAATAGTTATCCCTATTAGGGCAAGTAGACTAATGAACAGAAATAGAATCTACAACTGTATGGTGACACCCTAAAGCTGTTATAATGACTTTACTAACTGTGCTACTAGGGCTAACATCCAAACAAAGTATTCCTAATGACATGCACCATCTCAGAAGTAATAGGAGAAGTAACAATTTGTAAAAAACCAAACATCTTTACTCACAAATACAAATCCATCCTCATTAGGTGATCAACATTAGTTAATCACTTGAGGAGGGGGTAGTGAAAGGATTCAGAAGGATTTGTAATAGTACATAATAAAGAAAACTAGACTTTACTACAAAGCATGTAAAGACTATGCCAGAAATGCAATCATGTAACACAACTTCAAGAATGTGTACAAACAATAATGACATATCAAATGTGCCAGGATTGACAAATCTGTAAAACACAAAGCATACAAACAGAAAGAAACACAATACAAGTAGTAGCATATCAAATACTATTCAATCAACTACAACACTGACTACAACATATTATATATGAAGGAATAAAACACAAAAGGAAGGAAGCATTGTTTAAAATGTATATATACAAAATATATGACCTAACAATACATGAAGAATGTAAAACAGTGTAATTACATTTATCAATGAAGACACACTAAGAATACAAGGAAAATACAGTACAAATATTTGCCTCAATATAGAGTACTATCCAAGATGATAGAACACACAGTTGTACTGTACTTACAACCAGTCATTATGAAGGACCAACAAAGTAGTACAATATTAAAGTAATATACAGAGATCACCACCTAATAATACTAGCAGGACACAAGCACCTCAGATCTATGGAACTCAGATCTGAAGACCCCTATGTACTCAACAAATAGTGTAAGGCAGGCAAGCCTTACACAAAGGTTATTATACTATACAGGCACTCAATGACAGAGCCACCCAGAACTCAGAATTAACAGTGCCAATCACAAAAAGGCTAATTAAACTTAGCTAAGGAAGAGAAGCACTCTCAAGGAATCAAACATGAAGGCTGTGCAAGAAGCATGTGGTGAGAAAGATTCAATGTCAATCCTTATCCTAAAACAGAAAAGACTAACATCTCAAACATATGAAATCACTAATACACATTATAAAAACATATAGCAACATACTAAAAATATGGCAACATAACACACAGACCACCTGAGGAATGGAACCACTTAGCTCACAAAGAAATAGGAGGATAAAGTCTTAATTAAAGTAGTATAAAAAGAGCCTCATTTATTGTGTAAAGAGTATTATACTTGATAACAGTTTATTCAAGGACAGCTCATGAACTAGCTGTAACAACATACTTACTCTCTTATATAAAATCTTTACACAACAATACTACCTTCTTTACCTTGAAATCTAAATGTGTTAAACTACTCTTAAGGGCATTAACTCCCCCTCTGCTAAGTACAAGTACTATCAACACTCCTAGGGACATACTCCTAGTTGAGCAAAGACAGAGGCTATGCCTGGGACCAGTAGTTATGTAGTTAAGGACCTGCCTGTTGCTTGTGAACCTACAACAAGAGGTGTAATTCCTACACAGAAATATAGTCCATAACAGCTACACATTGTGCTTTTACTCAAAACACTCTCACCAAGAGGAAGAAATGTAACTGTAGGAGGAAGTTTTGCACCTGTGTTACTGTTGGCATGTGCATTTGCAATACACCTTTCTTGGTTTGTATCATCTGTGAAAGGAACCATTAGCAGAACTTGGTATTGGAACAAAACCACTTTGATAGTATTGTAGGTAAGTAACAATATTAACAGTCAGGATTCAAACACAGAAATCAACCTCTTTTCTGAAAAGAGACAGGTCGAACAATCTGCAACATAGTCATCAAAATCATACACAGAATTTTGCTGAATAATTTCCTTGTGAGTGATTAATTCTTGTAAATGTGTCAAACCTAACATGCTGTTTTGTTTACATAGGCTCTCAAAGATTGCAGACATAAGCATTTAACAATTGGAACAAGTTTGATAATCAAATGATTGGTAAGGAAATGCAAAGTAACTTGTATTTTCATTATGGACTAAACTACTACTTCTGCAGGAACTATCTCTATCTTGGCCCTCCTATGCTAGTAGCATGAACAAATTCTCCATTTTCCTTGTGTGTAAATTGTTGTGTGAATCCTATCTTGTGTTTTCAAGCAATTCTAATGTGAGTTTCGTACCTTAAGCAAGGTTTGGAGGAATGGGTCCCAACATATGCTGTCTAAATATATTTCAGACAATATTTCAGATAACTTTGTACTTATACGAGTAGAGTTGCATTCCATGCATCACTATTGATTGAGACACTTCTTCTACAATGATGAAATGAGACAGCTGTGCAACGTTCGGAATTGTTTGCAGATGTATCACAAATATAAAGGAAAAGATACAACACTTTAACAAGACTATCTGAAGCTAACAAATTGCAAATTGGCTAAACCAAGAAAAAGTACAGTGTGAAGTTTCATAGGGATTCTTAGGAGCTGAGAAGAGGATGGGGCTTAGGAATCTCAACCACTTGGACAACTTTTGGCTTCTGTCGAATTGTATGCCACAAGCGAACTACACCCCAAGCTTCGAGTAGGTCCTACACACTCAAGGTTAAATATACACATTTGTGAAAACTGAAGCACACACCCTCTGTGTTCCAAATATCAGAAATGCTGCAGTTGGTACTGAACCAAATTCGCACATATTAGTATAAGCCAAGAGTACTTGGTTAAGGCGAGCTTACGGGAGGCTTGTATGATGTAAGGCAATTCAGCACCTGTCTCTAGCCAAAATGCAATACACGCTCTGGTAAGAGTAGTTTTAGTAGAAACAGAATCTGAGAATACAAAGTACGCACACAATAGCCAGAAACGAATAGACACTGAATATTCCAACTCTTACTATGAGCTCTCGCGGAGGACTACTATTCGACCTCATATTCACAAAGGCCGTGTGCATTTGGTATAGCTTAAATGCAATAAGGCCTATTATTTTGAAAGAGAAGATAAGGGAGTTAGTAGTTGTATAAAATATAGATATGGAAAATAGCTTTCCTTCAAAAACGATGATGGTAAACAGAATTATTGCAGCAATAGCTGGAATGAAATCACTATGCAAGCATAATCAGCAGGAAACAGCCTCTAAGATTTTTTCAAAACTATACACGAGTTTGGAGTTTATTGTACAATAGAAATAGTATTGGTTTCTCGAGACCTGGTTCAAATTGACAGCTCCATACTTTGACAGATAATGTTATCAGATTAATACACATGATAATTATGATAATTCTCATACTCACTGCTGCAGTCAAGCCAACAACTACCATAAAGACAGTATATGGACCTGCCATGAGCTACAAATCATAGTCAAATCAATGGAGAGGGCCTAGATTAATACAAATACTAACTAACCAAATAGTTGCGTATCGTGTGGTTACTAATAACTGATCTATTTTCTGTCACATTGCGAAGACTAAGCCAGAGCTGACATGGCTAAGCTTGTAAGCCATACTGTCAAGAGCATATTACTCACATTAAGAACAAATGACAGTCCTGCAGTCGGCGTCCTGTTCAAGTTGTTGAGAACTGTGCTTAGTTTGTGTAAGCACATAATCTAGATTCAGTGACGTACAAAAGAGCAGTTCCGTAAATTAGAGATGCTTGGATATTGCAGAGGATCGGGCTTGGCTCCGGACCAAATTGTCTTCCTATATACAGTCTTGTACTGTGTCAGAAGAAAAACACAAATAACTTGAATGCTGTACTTACAGTATGCAGAAGGAAGTCGAATAAATGACCCAGGTAACTAGGAAATTAACAAGCATAGGGTGCTTCCTCACGCCTTTGGCAATACGTAAAGTTAGTAGAATCATAGGAATTCCGACGTGTCCACCAAGGATCTGCAATAAAAAGAATGCCACAGCTCCAGCTAAGGTGAAGTGCTGACGATTTGAGGTACTAAAGGAAGGCTGGGAGACTGTTGTATCCACTTGTCAGTGCTTGAAAAGGGACAAATATTACAGAGAATTTCGTACCTGTGGAACTATTGTCCTCACGTAGTGGGAAATAAAACGAGGGTAATCCGGATTGCATGTCACTGGATTATGCACGTCTTTGAAAGAACCAAACGTCTCAGGCGAACAAAAGTTGCAAAAGTGAAGGGGGAATGACACAACAGGTTGAGTAGGAGTGCTGTCAATATGTATCGAAGAGATGACTGAAGGGCATGCTACAGTCAGTGTTTCCATACCAGCATGCATCAGATGAAGATGTGATGCAACAGTTTTGTGTATGATACATTCTGAAGAACAACCGGGAATAGATTCGCAAGGAGACCTTGATCGGATGTTCTCTTTGACTGATGAGGGATTTCATCAGACTTGTGTGTGAAAGTAAAGCCGAGTGGCTGGATAACTGTGAAGATCAGACAATGTCGAGTTTATCTGTTCACGGCTTTGCACATGCCTACTGCCATCCAGTATCTTCACAACAATTAGAAGCATTTTGTACACTCTAGAATGTTTGTTCCATCCTTTGAAGCAAGAGAATGTTATTATAGACAATTCAAACACACAAATTTTCTCAATAAAAGTATACGTTAAAAGCCAAAACTCAGTTAACCATAACGATATAAAGATGCACAAGGCTTATGAACAATGTAGCATTGTACTAAAACCAACTATTAGATACAACACCAAGCAAGCACCAAGATAGGGGAGTAGAAGAAAGGATTAGACAGATTGTGTTACAGATGTTTTTGCCGAATAGAACGCCACAGACGGATTAATCCCCAAGCTTCGAGCAAGTCCTGGAGAAATGGAATTGAAGTTAATAATAACATGTCTAGTCCAAATCTCGGAAGACTCAACCATCTGTGTACCAAATATAACAAATGCTGCGGTTGGAACTGCATTCCAGGAAGGATTATGAGCGTACCGCCGCACGCATTGATTCTAGCATACACTCACGTGAAGCTTGGATTATGTAGGGTAGCTCTGCTCCTGTTCTTGACCAGAAACCAATGCAAGCACTATACGGGTGAGTGATAAGTGGCAAACAGATATGCTTGAGATTGGAAACGCACACAATGGAGAGAAATGAGTAGATACTGAAAATTCCGACTCTGACTATAAGGTGAAGCGGTGGTCCGCTGTTTCTCATGTCCTTAAAAGCCTTGTGCATTCGATACAACTTAATTGCAATTAAGCCTGTTATATGCGTAGAAATGTATTAAGTTAATTTTTAATTTTGGTATTCCATGGAAAATGGCCTGACTTTCCTTCGAGCACAATAATGATGAACATGATTGTTGCCGATGTTGCAGGAACTACGTCCCTGAAAAGCTTTGTAAGTCAAAGGTCGTATCTCGGTGTCAAATGACAGACTTACACGGCCTCTGAGTTAATTGTGCAGTAGAACAAGTAGCGGTTCCTTGACAGTTTTACGGGATTTACTGCTCCGTACTACCACAAGAGCACTGTTAGATTTCTTTCGTAAAAGTCTCATAAGTATACCAGAATCTTCCTTACAGAAGCGGTGAAAATGACGAAGGCTACGAATACGCCATATGGAGCAGCAATCAGCTGGGCAATTTTTTCAGTTCAAATGCAATATCGAAGCTGCATAAACCCACTAGGTAATTCCTGACTGTCTGGTTCGTGGCGATTGACTTGTTCTCGGTGACAGCACGGAGACTAAACCAGAGCTACTAACTATAAGTTCAAGCCTTATTCTCATTGTATATGAGCGCGTACGTTTAAAATGAAAGAGAGGCCTGCTGTTGGCGTCCTAAAACATTTCGTAGTCAGTAAATTTATATTCACTGAACAAATCTTCTACAGGAATACACACATGACAGCGGTCCCGTAAATTAACGCTGCCTGAGCAGCGCAGAGACCGTGATGAGGCTCAGGACCAAACTGTCTTCCAAGGTACAGGCTATTTCAAGGTTGAGTAGAGATATACACAGTCGTCAAGAACACACACTCACAGGATACAGAATGAAACCGAGTAAATGACCCAAGTAACGAGGAAATTCACGAGCATCGGGTGTCTTCTCACTCCTTTGGCAGTATACAGAGTGAGAAGTATTAGAGGAACTCCGAGTTGCCCGCCGAATATCTGGAGGAAAAAGAAGATTACTACGGCACTAATGCTGTAATGCCGTCCATTCGACGTGGTCAGGAGTGATTGCGAGACTGCAGCATTTCATGCTTGTAAGTGCTTTGAACAGTGCTGCGGTCCAGGAGGTACGCACTTGGATATCCATCACCATCACGAGGAGGAAAGTAAAACGAAGGTAATGCGGCAACCATATTTAATGGTGGCTAAGTTCGTTCAAAGTACCTGCAGTTAATGTATCAAAGAAAGAGGTGAGCCAGCACACAGAATGAAGAGTTAACGGGATCAAGTTTGAGCAGCTCAAGAGCTCGAGTGCATATTTGACCTCGGTAGCTACGGAGTCATTGACTGCACGCCGAGCATACCGTAGAAACGTGATGCACCAGGCCTAGGACGTTCAATTGCAGTGATCATCAGAGTTCTCTTTGTGCTTAAGTTAGCGCTGTGAGGCCGAACGGTCGAAATTTGGAACAAGAAAGCACGCCACAGTTTCCAAGTGTTCATCTGTTACCGATACATACACTCGGATAGCCAACACCGGAATCGCCTGAGATCCGAACAATATGTGAATAGCAACAAGACTTGAACAAGGTAAACAGGCATTCCAACAGAAGAACCGAAGTACGAATTAGAATGATAAAGTTCCAATCACGCGTGTACGCACATGAGTCACATCATCCAAAGTTAAAACTCCGCAATGAATGATAATCTGACTTACAAGGCGCCAGTTGCTCTCCTGGGCCCTGTAACAACCTTTGAATGATATTGTATCTATGCAGTGATGATCGGGTATGGTGCCAGACTAGCGTACGATAAGTCTTTGAAATTGCCGGCGAGCAGCATTCTTCAGGCGCTCTGGCAGCATTTGCTGGTACCTCCTTCACTATTTAGATATCTTTGGCAACAGTAGGCACAAGGTTTCGTTTTGAACAGCTTTCCAAGCCAGTATTGATGGTTGCAAAGAAGTATATCCCTATTTGGTTATTTCAGTCAACTTATGCCTCCAGCATGAGATTGGCTTCGGTCACTATCATTAGGACCTCTCATTTTAGCATGTGGTTTATGTCATTAGCATACCATTCATCTCCTGGGTCGATCACACGCTCATATGCATTCATCTTTGGACAATGTTATTGACGAAAATTGTTGTATTTGGTGTTTATATAACCATGTAAGATCACTCCTACTAGTACACATTATACTCGGGCAAATTTGTCCGTTCCGCCTGCAAAGACATAATTTTGATAACTGCTCGTAGTGCCTTACACATTTCCGTTTTCATCAGGCGATCGTGGGGTACGAGGAAGAGGTTTATCTAGGTCCTTATCTGAATGGGAATATCCAGACCCTCGCACAGTGCCTGTTTTAAATGTTATCGGTTCCAGTTGGACACGTCGGAGTGGTTTTCTCCCCACTCTGAACCATAGTCGCAGGTTCTCCTTTTAACGAATACATGGGAAAGGTATGAGCGAACACTAATTATTGACAAGACGAACTACTAACGTACTTTCTGAGTCCCGAATATAAGGAACGTAACGAGAGGTACTAACAGAAGGAAATCATATCAGTAACTAGGACCCGAGGGAATTAAGAACGTAGCGGGAAATCATACGTAGTGATATGAGAACGTAGACGGCTGGGTCTGCTGGCTCGAAAGCGATTATAATTCCGACGCTAAAGCCAAGCGAATTAGGATAATCAGATATAGGATCTTTTAACACTCACATGAACGAGACGAGGGAAAAGAGTGTGAAGATGGTCACCCGAAGTGACAAACGGAGTGAGCTCTGGTCAATTGCCTTGGCTCTGCTGGATTTGTAAAGAAAGCGGTGGACCAAGCCTATAAATTATTACATTATACGGAAAGTTACATATTAAACATGACTGAACGGTTGCGTACCTTGGAAGACAAGGATAAGCACTAGTGTCACCAGGCACATCGCACTAACAGTGTATACTCTGCTCTGCAAACCGTTGTGTGAATCGAAGATTGAGAGAGAGGAGGTATTGACTTACATGAAGTTTGACGACACTGTGCAATAGAAGACCCATTTGTTTGTGACAATTGACGGATCTTTCAGTCCAATCTAAGAGCAGAAATGAGTAAGATCGTACTCGCAATTGGAGCAACGTCATGAATACTCACGATAAGAGCGAGAATCATGAAGAAAAGGAACACAGTCCAGGGGGCTAGTAGCAGCTATATCGACGAAGTAGAAGAGTTCATTTCAACGCAAAAGCATTGAAGAAGTGATACTAAACCAATATAGTAGACAGCTTAGAATGCTTGTAGAACGTTTGGCCTCGAAACTGAAACTCCATCCATAACTGTACAAAGAATTAAAGAATTCGTATTTGTAAAAGTTTATACAAGCCAAATTAATGTAATCACTCACTTGCAAGACGAGGCATAACGTCGCAATCTCCCCCCTGAAATAGCCTTAGCTTCCGAAAGGGCGTTTACAAAATGCACTTACCCTGTAATACTCCCATAAATCATTGACGCCTGCGCCAAGCAAACGGCGTAACTTGGCTCTCTCTTACTTTGCTCTCCAGAGTAAAGCCTACACGAGCCGCAATAAGTCAGGTTGGCACGTACGAGAGAATTGGGCTCACAAGATTAGGCACGCCGTAGCGTACGCCATCCACAGCACTAATAGATTAACTAGTGCCGGATGGCGACGGGTTACCGCCCTGGTTAAGACCAGCGTTGCGATCAAGAGAGGCAAGCAGACATGTCCGCCAATGACTAGAAACGAGAAATAAACGCTCAGAATGACACTTTTATTGTGTCCAAGATCCATTTCAGGTGCGGTGTGAGCAATAGTGCGGTAGTCGAACATGACATCCAGCCAGTGGATTTTAATGGAAGGCCAAGATGCAGATCAAGACAAAGGCACAAGCTAGTCGTAGAAAAACAATGGAGACGAAGGGCGGAGAGATGCTCGGTACGCGGAATAAGTATATACCAGCAACTGCCCGAAAGCTAATCTAAGAGTATTAGTCCTAGCAACGGACATCTTCCACAAACCTTGATCTTGATTGAAGATGGGACGATTCGATGGGGAGAATACTTGTGGCGCATCTGACGACCTTATTCGATGGCCGTCCATCATTCCCAGAAGACAGACTACCTTGTCCTCGAGTCCACCAGTTTCGTCTTATGCCAAACTTACGTTCGTGCGCCATAGCAGCAAAAGCCTTACCTGAGATACTACGTTTCGAAAATAACTTGTCAGTTGTACTTTCATCATGATCGAATACCGCAGGAAAGATAATCAGAATGTGAACCTCCCGCCGATCACCCACGTGCAATTGATGCATGGTCATATACAGATAGAAACTAATGCCGTTGAATGGAAGCGGATAGGACGGCGTACGCTAGTTGAACAAACTCCTTCGCTTTCTCCGGATCTTGATCGATGATAGATTCGGACCCAGGCTCGTTGATCTTTTCCCAGTGGATAAGAACACCGTCTATAAGCGTGAGAGCTTCCTCTTCGGTATGCTCTTCTACCCAGCGGACGTACTCAGCTTCACTCCATCCATGCAGAGAATGCGGTAGAGGAAGCGGTGAGCGTACAAGAATGTGGTGTAAGACGACTAATGGAGGAAGACCCGAAGTGCTAGTTGGGGAGGATAGCATAGCAGTATCAAGGAAAAGGAGAGGGCTGCAGAAATGGGATTAATACGAAGCTCACGGTTTACTACGCATCAATCTTACTCACCGCATTGCACGCAATGCACGGTAATCGTCGCCAATAACGTCTAGTCTAACCGCTCGCTGGGACCCTCCGTCTGCCATAAACGCGCTCAATGCAAATTCAAGTTCAGTCATGTCACTCGTGAGCTGCAGTTTTCCGCCTTCGCCAAGGGGGTTTGCTATTGATGCATTTAGCACGAATGAACGGACGACATTCTTTGCAATCGTCGCCACCCTGTTGCACCAAATTCAGCTACCAAGTTACGGATTGAACAACTAGGAACAGACCATTCACGAGACGCGTCCCCAACATTGAACTTGGCAAGTACCTCCGTCTTAACAAAGTTCAGCTTCTCGACTAGATCTTTCATGTACGTGCTCGGACCACCCATTCCGGCAGAAGCATCAGGAGCCCCAAGGTCGAGCTTATGCATTTTGGCAAGTATGGCACTAAGCTCCCTTCGGATAGCACTGAGCAGTGGCTCCACGATTCTATCATACGTACGGTGGAGCTCCTACAAAAACAAAAACAGAATGTTGTTATCATTAAAAGAGTAAGACGCAAAATTAAATGAAATAAAATCACCCTGACAGAAGGTTGAAGAATTGCGATGACTGACTCCGAATATTCGCCTTCGAGGCTGTTAAACCGCGTAGCGCAATGATATAGACACGTTGCGACTTGTGCATTCTGCGTTTGTTGAGGTGTACTGACCGGACCCAGGAGACTTGTCGCCCATCTATCTCGCACGATCTATACCATCAAATCGCAGTCAGGGAGTATCCAAATCTTCGAGAACAAAGACGTACTAGAGGGTCTAATCTTGTCAAAAGCAACTCCAAGCTCGATTGAACATTTTTCGCGACAGCCTTGATCAGAAGTGGGTCAAATTTAGCTGCGTCTAGCTCGTTCGCAGCCGCACGAGCTATTCCCAAGCCTTCACCCATGGCAGGTGGAGCACGAGCACCGCCCGCGACGCTTTGTGCAACAACTTCATTTAGTCGATTCGCGGAGCGCTGAAGGTACGATTGTTCAAAGACGGAAAGAGCCCGTAAAATAAGGATGGTTTCAGGGCTTAGATACTTGCGTTCAGATTAATACATAAATAAAGTCAAGGGCACGGCTATACCTCTGCTTGTCCTGTGTATATATCGTATCCGTATGAACAGCAATCTTTGCGAAAAACTCGTGGAAGAGGCGAAGTAAACGGGGATAACCCGAACTTAACGTTTGTTGCATGAACGTTGAATCTGGACGGTACCAAACTAATGAATAACGGTCGAAAGTCTTTGAGAAACTCACGTACTTCGGGAAGCATCTTTGCATTGTTTCTCAAGCGTCCTTGCCAAAACCGTCCAGAACGTTGAACTAGGCTTATTTTCAAGCACCTTTCGAACGACATGAGTAAGTGCAAGGTCACTCAGGCCACACAAAAGAACTGTACCTTCATCGCTTCATCCATGAAATTTGTCTGAGTCACGGTGTCTTTCTTAAGTTGGAGAACCTTTTCAAGGGTATATACCTAATTGAAAAGAAGCAGCATATTAGCTCATATCAACAAACGCGTCGCTTCACAGCGAGAAACAGTTAAGGGACGTCATGAACGGACCTTGATACAGCAATCCGCTAATTCGCCAATCAGAGCCTCCAGTCTAGTCCATAGAGCCGCACCGAACTGCGGAGCCGTTACATTCGTCGGCTCCGTTCGTACTCGAGACCGATATAACAGCCCAGAGGCAGTTGATGTCTGTTCTGAACCATAAAAATCGATTCAGTTATTGTATCCGGTGATCGCAGTTGTTTGAAATATATGTGAACATGAAAAAGTGCATGTACGACATACCTTTGGCATTAAGTTCCTTCGAAATTCTCGATATATCAAACGCTAGCTTGATGCGTTGCTCAACCGCATCGGTTAGATCTGCAAGGAGGGACTGCACGAGATTTGGGAGCACACGAAGGTTGTGAGCTGTTTGCAGCGACGAGGCAAGTAGCGAACGGTTCTATTAATAACCACTTAAGTAAAGAGATAAGAACAAGATGAAACAAAGGAACATACAAGAGAACCAAGGCCTGTAAGAACCATTATTTCCATCTCGGAAGAAATCTTTGTGCGAGCGGACTCGATCGCGGGGATATAGCCTGTCACGGCGTGTATCGAGCGTAGGGGAATCTCGGTGACTTCAAAGTCTTCATCTAGCGGCGATTGTGTTGTCGTTTCGGCACCAATACCCTGTTCTAATGCATTGCTGGGTCGGCCCTCATCTGGCGGCGCGTCAAGGAGGGCGACTACAACATTCTCCGTCAACAGAGTTACATTTAATAATGCCAACCAAGTAATTTCGATGATGATTTACCTAGTTCAGCAACCGTTAGAGCTGCCTTTGCGATGGCACGTTCTTTATCGCTTTCGCTACCTAAGCTCAAGTGATCCTCACTCGGTCGCCTTTCCGAAACACTTATCCGAGCTTCACTATCTCGTCGCCGAGACTCCCCTGAACCACCGACATTACGTTTTGCATCCTTTCCATCTCTAGCGGATACCGGATCCGAGCCATCTTCGGTAGACAAGCGAGAGAGCTCTGTCATTTGACTTTCCAGCCTACGTGCTAGAACCACGAAGCGTGCAGTTCTCCGTAAGGCATCGGCTGCGCACTGAAGGCGTGCTAGACGCGAAGCATATACCCCAAGAGCAGTACATGGTGTTCGAATCTTCGTACGGAGCCTGTGCGGCGCTTCGATGCGTGGTTATGCACGGGAGTTGTAGTAGTTGGGGTCGGACGTCAAAGACAGCCATAGAAGCCCAGTTGACATATAAAAGTGGTTAACGTGGAATCATCGTGTCCGAACACATTCATTGCCCAGAGGAACAGGAGAAGGAGCGGCACACGACAAGTTTGTGGAGAATCCAAGGACCAAGAAACATTAAGTCAGGAGAATGCATCCGAAAGGTGAGATATTAGATAGAACAAAACAGATCTCGATAGATATAGATTCAGAATGATTCATTTCCGCGGGTGTGCCGTGCAAGCAGTAGTCGAGTGTGGAGAGAGAGTTCGAGTAAGCCGAGAATGGGAAGAACATGTGTCGGCGGTAGCGTAAATGATGCAATTCAATCCGAGGGGTATTCCGAAAGCATATTCATTTCCGCAGTATTGAGTAGATTCAAAAGAGAATACGGTTTCGAATAAGAATTCATTGAGTGCCGCATGAATAAGAATCACGCACTTGTCCTGAGAAGCGGATACCTCTTCCAATCCAGATTTCACAGTCTGCAATTTGTCTTCAAGGGCGCCTACACCAGCAGCTTGAATAAGGAGAGTTTCATGGTTATTGGTCACCTGGAACCATACGGTACGCATGCCGGGGCATTGACCCCACCATACAAGGAAGATTCACGCAGATATTAGCATAAGATGAACCAGGTAGGCAACAAAGTTTACAAGCCGATCGATATGAGACGCGAGCAAGCATACAGATGAAATGAAGCAGTCAGTCAGTCGGACGAATCCTGGAGCACAGTGCAGGATGGTGCACGCACCACATTTTTGAGCTGCTTAGAGACGTCATCGATACCAAGAGTTAGCTTCGAAATTGCGACAGAAATATCTTCTTTTGCCGGTTCAGATGACGTTGGAGCGACTTTTGTTACCTTGCCCGCATGAGTTTGTGAAGAGTCCCCAGATGTGACGGGTGGTGGCGGAGGGAACGGTTCTCCAGCAAGTATGGCATTTGCGTATTCATTAGCGTCGAAGTTGGGTACGGCAAACGCAGCATAAAGAGATTCTACTTCGCATTGAAGGTCAGATAAAGCTTCATGCGAGTGCTTTCAGTCCACACCTGGCATACTATAGTCTCCTCTATGTCATTGGCACGTCGTTGCAGACAAGTATGAGCACCAAGCACGCGTTGTCGACTTGTGTTGAATGTGTTTGCAGCCGCAGCCAAAGGAGACGCGATGCTTACTGTAAGCCGCTGACTAATTCTCTCGCCTCTACCAGTAACCAGATCTGGAGACAGACAACTTACAAGGCGAATACACCCACCGACGCCGTGTACTGACGATGATGTTTAATCTTCTTTGTGAGCTGAGTACACACGCAGCGTCCGAGTTTCAGGGTTTGATCAAGCCTGCTTCATAAACTGACTCGCTGTTCAAGCTTTAGCCACTAGTGAAGTTTCAGAGTGCTGAGCATTGAGCAAGTGCCAAGAATGCGATGCTCACGTGCTCATTCTGCTGACTGATCCACACTATCTCAGCCAATATTGGAGATTTACAAAAATGCTACTGCCCGCCGAGTATTCTAGCGCTGTGAAGACCCTTTCCGTTGTTAAGTGTGTGTATCAGGACAGGGGTGTCCTCTGACATCAGCAGCTGTTGATCTTTCATGGTATAAATACAGGGCACATTGTATTGTGATGGCGCGCCTGCTGTCTAGCACTCTTGGTATTTACTTCTGTCGTGCCCCTTTATAAGCCACCAAGTGACCAAGAGCCGGCCTTGACTCAACCACATCTCTCCAATGGCCTACTACGACGCCTATCGCAATGCCCCGGGCTGGGGAACGTCCAACTACCAATTTCTTTCACCGATGCAACCTTCTTACCAGCCGCAACCGAGCTGGACAGGCGTTGATTACTATAGGGCACATGGAGGGCTCGCCGATCCGTATGTCTTCTATCTGGGGCTAAACGTCCTCAAACCGTATACCTAATTCCTTAACTCTAATTCACTCTAATTATATTCACAGAGGCGTTTACGACTACGCATGGAACAGAGTGCGCAACCGTTCAAGCATGGGAATAGGTATGGAGGATGCCCGTATATTGCATCGTCGTGCATACGGTGGTTTGGTGAGTACCGGGTCTACCGATCCGACTCTGTCTTCAACATTTTGAAGCACCGATAGAGTTCTAACATTCTCCACATTGCGGTGCACAGGGTGATATCCAGATGATGCTACCGAGTGATGTCGGCGCTGCAGCGGCTTACGAAGCCTGGCGCAATTGGAAATATCACAACGGAATATATGCACAACCGCTTGCTGGCGACCGCGAGCGTCAGAGGGAAGCTCTTATTGGCCTCGCAGTCAGTGAAGGTAAGCCGCAGCACTCCTATCGCTTGATTCATTGAGTTTGAAGTGAAATGGCGTTTGCGTGATGATTCTACATTTTTAATTCAAATCTGCAGCTACACGACTCTGGCAATATACTGGTCGAGCGGCTGATACCTACGGGCGTCTCGAGGCATGCGAAAGCGCAGGAGCAACAGCCGACCAAATACTGGAACAAGCGTGGCTACTCGAGGGTGGAGGGGCTTACGACCCGTATCCAGGTCGTGGCCGACTTTCACGACGTGGCTCGGCTTCTTCTCTCCGCTCTTATTCACCACTTTCGCCTGGTATGCCTGTAGTAGGAAGTATTGGTCATTCTCGCTCTCGCCCCGCATCACCTTTTCTAGGAGACGGTTATGGATACGCTAGTTCAAGCGCATACAGTCCGAGTGCTTACAGCACAAGTGCATATGACGCCCCGTACTCGCGGAGACGTGCCTATTCAAACGCAGCTGCGTACCCGATGAACTATGGAACGCCTATGACAACTCAATCTCAATATCTCCAACCAACGACCTATCAATCGGGATATTATGGCCAACCACTCTCTCCTACGTATGCCGCAGCGCAGCCGAACGTAACTGTTATCCAACCGCCATCCTCACACCGCCACCATCGTAGTCACAGTCGGCACAGACACCGGTCGGGTTCGCGCCACCGTTCGTCAAGGCACAGACATAGCGGAAGCTATGGCAGCTACGGAGGAAATTACTACGTTGGAAATTCGGTACCGTACGGTGTTGGGTATTGAACGCTCACTCTTCATGATCTATTTACGACGATTTCCAGTCCGTCCATGCTCTGAATGATGGAAGGATAACCTACATTATTACCCAAATCCCTAATAGTTGCTCCACCGTTTACCCTTTCCAGCTTTCATATCCCACTCATGAGTCCACTAACCTGTTGTTTATTCACCTTTCTCTCTCCGATTTTGTACATGTACGATATCTGTAAACCGATAGCTTATCTTCATGACTTATGCTATGTACACGTTACGAATATCATTGACTTATTTTATATACCATCTGCTTTCCAGCTTTGGGAGCGGCAACGTGGCGCGAATAAGATGTGCAGGTGAATATGTCATACACTCGGTAGTGAGAAACTCCTCATCACAAGCAGTTGTCTTGATATTCTGTAGCACACAAGTTTGGACAAATTAATACAATTGCATCAGACAAACACTAGATAACACAGAAGACATCTAACTGTAAGACCAGCTCAATCAATTCCAGTTCAACAAACACGAACATTAAACGGAGGGGATAAGTCGCGAAGAGCAAAGAAATACAGAACATCACAAAGCAAGTTCGAGCTCATACTTTAAGAGCTTTGATACTCTTCCCCATCGTGATACCGAGCCATTCACCAGGCGCAGTCGAATGGCCCGATGCCATCGTCATCCCAGCAATCTGCGGACTCCAACATATATTACCAATTTCCGCGGGTGCGGTGTATGCGTATATCGGGTCTGTTAGGACTTTCGCTTTCTTGGTTGATGAAGACGACGATGAACCGCTAGGTGAGGCAGTCGTGGACGTCCCCGACGTGCGAGGTGAATTCGGGCCACGAGCGCTCTGAGATGGAGGTCGTGCAGGCTGTTGTGTGATGTCCCATAGAAGAAGTTGGCAGTCGTCCGCTGTAGACAGTCCCAAGTTAAAAAGCAATGCACGTAATCAGGAGAAATCGATTTACCTGCTGTAGCAAGGAAAGGCTGATCAGCTGATCCCCATCCTAAGGCATTAATCGGTGCTTTATGTGCCTTCAACTCCAGCACAGGTTGTCCCGGACTTCGCATATCCAGTATCTGCACGTCATTTGAGTCGATATGGAACGTGCTCATATAATTCGCATCTGCAGGGTTGAATGCGATCCGCAGCAAAGGTGCTGTTGCCGGTCGACCAGCTGCAGCTGCACTCGCGGCAGCAACGCTTTGTGGCTTCGGTGTGGGTGTTTCGTACAGAATTGTGGAATGCTCTAACGATCGTAAGTCAAATGCTCGTAGTGAACCGTCCGCACCGACGGAGACAAAGATATCTGTTGATCCAGGTAACCAAGCTACATCGTAGACCTCACGGTCATGTGCGATGAGTTGAGTTACTGCGCTCGCAGTTTCGATATTCCACACGGTGCATGTTGTATCAATCGAGGAAGTGACTATCATTGAGGGGGATTTTTCATTCCAGGAGAAGTTGGTAATGGGAGCACCAGTATTTCCCGGTTGCTGAACTTTTGACTGTCAAAGGAGGTCAAAATTAGAGGAGTATCCATACAACAGTAAAAGATATCTTACGGACCCCCGATAAGGTACTTTTAAGTGTTAATCGGTGCACACCGCTAGCCTGCTTCATGCCGACATATGTACCACCCTGTGCACTAGTACTATCACTCGCATACTCCCAGACACGAAGGGCATCACCGGAGGTAGCAAGCAGCTCAGACCCTGCACTTCCTGATCCCGATGTAGCCGCAGTTGCAGGCTGCCACTGCACGCTGGTCGCAGGGTATCCATGATGTGCCTCGACAAGGGAAACGAAATCCGCATGCTGCTCGTAATCATAGTCATCTTCGATCAACACTCGCTCGTCTTGTAGCCCTATAATCGCGAGTCTATTTCGTGAATCTTCTGTGAATGAACCGAGAGCTAGGCGGAAAGCAGTTCGCGGACGCGAGTGCTGTCCTGGTGCCGGGGTCTTGCACCAGTCCATTGCATAGACTGCCCCTGGAGAAAATTACACGAGTTAGCGGCTGTTGAGAAAAAGTAGACCTACAACGTACATGGTGCTTCATAGTTGAGCAGAGAGGTTTGTGTCATGGCAGCAATCAAGTAAAGTACAAGCCAGGCACGAACTGAAGTGGTTATTTCACCTAAATCGTTTCCACGCACGTGATTAGATACGCGATTTCAAATTATATGTAATCGAACTAATGAGACCCAACTTGTCGCTTTAGTCCAACATTATTTGCTGCCGAATTGCTCTCTCCAACGTCCTAGTATCAAAGTCACCGATCCATAAACAATAACAGTATTTCATTCCTAAGGCGGACGATGCCTGTATGATTAGAGATGACTGCAACATTTACTGATCTGCACTCGTTTTAAATGTCTAATACTAATAGAGCAATCTGAAATGCGATTTATATAAGAAAGACAATCCAGATAAAAATATACAAGAGAGCCGCAGGCCGTGCAGCCATAAATAAATCGTCCAAAAACCCTTTCAGTACTGTCTCTCGAGGATCCCTAGTCCCTCGTCTCCCCAACATCTGACTTTGGAAGGCCCTAACAAATGACTGACACAAATGCTCAAGTAAGAACGGCAAACCAATTCTTAAACGTCGTCTCCGTCCGCCAAGCTCGAAGGTCCATGTCCATACAAAACGCCGACGCTGTCGTGCCCTGCCGAGAGTAAGGTTGAAGTAGTCGTCCTTACTTTCGGATGGGAGACGATATCGTGCTTGATGCGCAGGAGTTTGGAAGTAATCTTCTTCATCTTCTTCATCTACATCGGAGCTTCTTGAAATGTGAGTACGGGGGAAAGATTGTGCAACACCACTTGGCGAGGTGGACAATAAGCCGGGTGAGCGTAATGCGGTAGGTACTCCGTCAACCGTAAAGTTCGGTGTACCAGGTGTAAACGGAACATTTGCAGCTGCTCGTAGTGTCGGAGCCAGACTGTTTGCTCCCATCGAGCGAGCTGTGCTTAAAAGGGAGGTTGTCACAGTGTCCGCTTCAAACCGTTGGTGTTCAAAAGACGGCGAGCGTAGAATCGGAGTATTGGCACCTCCTGAGGGAGGCGGCGTGGCAAAACCTGAATTAACCTTTAGATCGTAACCCTTCTCATATGCTGCCACGACGTCCAAGTGCTCCTGCTTGCCACGATGTCGCCTAAATGCAGACACTGTGAGTACGAGCAACGATATGACGAACAGCGGGAGATATCGGCCGTAGAAGATGGCTTGCTCATCGGGGAAGAAGCACGGGACGTCGGCAAGCGATCTACTGTCCGCTTGTTGAGAGGAGGAAGATCCAAGAGACAAAAGTTGGAAACCCGGTCTACGGATGTGTCCAGGGGATGAGATAGCCTTGACCGTCACCTCGCGTACGTATTCCACCTTTGGCTCGGGACCCTCTGAGAGTAAAGGAATACTGTGAGTATATTCACAATAGTCGTGGTCATTACCGCTGTGCATCGCTTTAGTTAACACTTCCTACTAAGGAAAGGAGAAAATACCTAAACACTACAGCCGGCCTGACATATCTAAGAATATAGTTTGTTGTGTCACGCATCAGGATGTTCTGAAAGCCTGGACCGACACCTCGACGTATACCGCCCTTTTCTCGTAATGGTCCACATGGTGCCCTGTCTGGTCGGAATAAGGGGATATGACTGAATAGTACAACAGGTTCGTCAGTGCCCACTACAATATGAAAGTTCAGTCCAGTTGCCAAAGTAGGTCAGGAGTAGCAAGTATGAACGAACACCCAGCAAACTTGTTAATGAACTCCACGGCTCCATTAGGTATCGCATCCCATTCTTCAAATGTCTTCCCAGTTGCAGCGCGGCGATAGTCCTCGTCAACGAGACCTGGGGCATCCAGCATCACGAGAGTGTGGTTGCCAATGCTAACTTTTTGATTCAGAGGACCGAAGAATTTTGCAAAACGTCTACGAGCATGTGCCGCGTTCAGCCTTGCGGTGGGGCCGAGTCTATTCCAAGAGAGAATTTCGTGCAGGCAGCGACGAAAGCATGCAACGTCAGCGTCTAGCAAGCAGTACTCAGAGAAGTTCAGACTTACCCTACATCGTGGTTACCCGGTACAAAAAATACTTTTGTACTCGGATCCGACGAGAACACCGATTTGAAGTATCGGAAAGACTCCCAATATCTGCATGACATTCGCACAATTAGGCAACGCAAAGATTAGTGCATTAAGTACAGCAGGATACATCGACGTGAACAACAATGGAAATGCCCTGCGTTGAAGTGAGACAATAAACTTGGGCAGCGTTTGTCCTCCAACGCATAGCAGCGTCTATTCAGATGCGACAAATTCTCGAGGCAGAGATCACTTGAGGAATCCTCCAACGAACATTGTCTACCTGCTCAGTAAAGTAGACACCGGAGTGGGCCAAACCTTGGATTCTAGGCCTCAAGAACCGAACAACGACAAGGGGCACTTCTTGGGCTCATATGTCCCTCGAAGAGGAAAGAAAATATTCAAGTTTGTAAAGAAGTCTACTCACTCATTGTCATCAATCGCATATCTTCCACTTTCTAGCATGTCACCTAAGAACACGATGACGTCTGGTCGTGTTCGACGTGCAAATGACCATCGCTTCCGTAGCGAGGCGTCGGTGATATGGAACCATCGTCTCCATATAGGGTGCTCATATGGTACACGAAGCTGAGGGTCTGTGACGAGCAACGCGTGTGTTGGCGGTGTAGGTCCGTCATCCTATATGCACAGAAGACAACTCAGTCAAAGTTCGGATTGTGCAGACATGTCTTGAGACAGTAGAAGAAGCAACGTTATAGTCGTCTTTCCCATCCATCGTGGTTCACAAGGTTAAGATTTCAGTTCGGTCGGCACGACAGACCAATGTCTTCCCCGAGAAACGAAGCCTGGGCCAGAGGAATCTCGTAACTCACCAGTTTCTCTCCGAACACAAGGTCCACATCAGGCCAACGGCACCTCGTTATCGTCCAATAAAACGTGCCAACCTCGTACCAAAGGACAGCAAGCAGCCAGACAGAGCGGACGGCCGCAAGAGAGCTGTCCGAGAGAAAGAGACGCGCGCGTAAAGCACTGCGTGCACGCATCATTACTGGCGGCTGTTTCTCGTGCTCACACAGATCGTATGGGAGCCAAGAGGGAGAAGTCTTATTCCGGTAGAGGATCGACGATCAGATTTGCGTTGCTTACGTGGCCACTCTAGGCTGACGTAGAATTTGTTCAGAAAAAATCGATCTTTGGAATGAACGCGTAAAAATAAAATAAAACTCAATTGCGTTCAAAAGCGGAAGAAAACTGCGGCAGAGGCACCGAGAGCAGTGCGAGCAAGAAGATCGAAAGACTCGGCCTTGTACTCTTTTCTTATATACGGTACAGATAACAACTCCACTCGTGAAGATGGGAACTGAACACCCAGGCCCTCTGGTGATTAAACGAACCGCTCAATGGCAGGGGTTGCGGTCTTTGAGGGCCATCAGTTTACAGGTACAAAACCGGAGATATCCATATTCTAGGAGCTCTCGATTGCAGCTCTAAAACCGTGCGGATTGGTTGTGGGAACAGTGATTCCGTAACACGCAATTCTGAACCAAATTCGGTTTGAACCTGTGGATTTTCTCTACAGACGGCCTTGCAGGGATATTTCCGCAATTTTGCTCGGACTTCTGTCATTTTTGGTTCATGTACGGTCCGACTGCGGACATCCGACATGGCGCCATTTCCGTGCGTGTAGCCGCGAACAGAGTGACGGGTAAAGAAGGGATTCGTTGCAGCAATGATGACTTGACAATATGCACGCAATAAAAGTCTAAAGAACTCTGAATAACAGTAGTAAACCTTCGAGGCAATTGAAATACCGGAGGACGCGGGAGTGGACGATTGCACTCCCGCAGGAGGGATCAGAAGATCTAGAACGAGGCAACAATGCGGAACGAGGTCTGAGCGCGTTACGTAGCCACCACCAGGAACGGGAGGCACACATGCAGAGACGGTCAAAAGCAACAGCTGAGTGAGAGTCCACGGATGTCGGTTCACGCCATGCAATTTTGCGCCTGGTGATTACTAGCCGCCGCTAAGACGTGTATAAGTGTCATCGTAGCTTACCCGGTCAACGCGCGGTCGAACCTCGCTCCTTTTCCTTTTCGATAGGCCTGCTGGAAGCCGTGCACACACGTTCGTCTAGATACAGCCGTGAACTGAGCGAGCGTGCGCAGGATATGGGGATGTTCTTTGGCGAGCCGGGGCCGTCATCACAGCTTGCAAACCGGTTCACGGTAGGGAATAGCCGGGTGAAAAGGGCGGCCCTGTCGATCTGGACAATCAGTGAAGAAAGTGCAGACACTGCACTCGGAAGTCCAGAAGACACGGGCGAGGGTACAAGTAGCAGCTCCAGCAGTAACTCCAGCAGTCCCCATCTCAGAACATCAGGCCTACCGGATTCATCGCTTGAGGCGTCATCTGCAGTACCGTCTCCACAAATCCATATTCGACCAAGCTTAAAGCGCCATCGGAGCGTCCAGAGCCCTGCAACACCCACTACCCCTTCTTCTTTCACAACTATCACAAGGTAAGCTCTTGATTTTGCATCCGCCCTCCTGTGCTCGTCCCCACGGCACGTCGCCACGTCGCCGTCGAGCTACGAAACGGTGTACGTACTATTTTCTGCGATCGGTTAAGCCGTTCGGAAGTATACACGTGCGGCGTCACCAGCGTCACACTTAAAGCTGCTCAGAATCGCAGACTCGCTTCCACCCTCCTTCACCCTCCCCCATCCTCTCGTCCATCCCATCGCTCATCATATCTAATTTCCCCTGACAAATCCCTAGAACAATGTCGAATTCCCTCCTGCCTCAAGGCGACTCCATAAGTTCGCGCGTCCGTGGCACCAGTCATATTGACTTCAAGACTGCCACCACTGGTGTGGCAGCGAAGGCCATGCGCAACGAGCTCGGTCGCCTCGTCAATACTATCCGGGAACCCGAGATGAAGAAGGTATGTGACCGGTTGAATATCGTTTTTAGTTATTTACCTGTTAACCGATATCTACGGTAGGCGTTCGACACGGAGATGCAGTCCTTTTTCGATCTCTTCACCCGCTACCTCGCAGAGCGAGCGAAGAGCGTAGAAATGTGAGCCCGCACTCCTTAGACCTCGTATCGCGTATTGACGCATCCAACAGTCAATGGGACAAGATTAAATCTCCTGCTGCAGAACAGATCGTGCCCTACGATGCACTTCCAAAGGTCAACGACCCGACAATACTGAACAAACTTGCTGTTCTCAAGGTGAACGGTGGTCTCGGTACCTCAATGGGTATGCATACATTGAGTTTGATCATTCGTCATTTTTAATTGATTCAAATGGCACGGCAGGTATGACCGGGGCGAAGAGCGCGCTCGAGGTGAAGGATGACATGACTTTCCTCGACTTGACCGTGCGCCAGATTGAGCACCTCAACACCACGCATCGTGTGGACGTCCCACTTATCCTTATGACGTCTTTCAATACGCATGACGATACATTGCGGATCATCAAGAAATATGCAAATCAGCAATTGCGTATTACGACATTTAATCAATCGCGTTATCCGCGTATACACAAGGAGACGTTGCTCCCCGTACCGAAGAGTGCAGAGGACGACAAGATTTACTGGTACCCTCCCGGTCACGGAGATTTATACAATGCAATCACACACTCTGGCGTGCTCGATCAACTCCTCGCTGAGGGCAAGGAATATCTGTTTGTCTCGAACTCGGACAACCTCGGTGCTGTGTACGTTTTATGTGCAACGCTTTTGAGGATTGGCACTGACAATTTTTTGTAGTGTCGACCAGGGAATCCTTAAACATATGATGGATACCCAATCAGAATTCATTATGGAAGTTACTGACAAGACCAAGGCCGACGTTAAGGTGACTATATGCGCGTTTATTTGTCCCTATTTGTACTCAAAGTCCTCAAAAGGGTGGTACACTCATTGACTACGAAGGCACCGTCCGTCTTCTTGAAATTGCCCAAGTTCCTTCGGAACATGTAGAAGACTTCAAAGCTAGTATGTCATTGTTATTGCTTCTAGCCATACACGCTAAGCTTCGTGTTTTGAACTTTAGTTCGGAAATTCAAGATCTTCAACACAAATAACTTGTGGATTAACTTGAAGGGTACGGACATCGTTGTCTTGTCGTTCATAAATCTTACTTTTCCCCGTCTGACATTTAGCGCTCAAACGTGTCATGGAAGAGGAGGGCATGGAGCTCGAGATTATCGTCAATCCAAAGAACCTTGATGACGGCCAGGCGGTGATCCAGCTTGAGACCGCCTGCGGTGCTGCCATCAAACACTTCCGCAACGCACATGGTATCAATGTCCCGCGCTCGCGCTTCCTACCCGTTAAGTCGTGCTCCGACTTGTTGCTCATTAAGAGCGACATCTACTCGCTGGAGCATGGTCAGCTTGTCATGAACGAGAACAGGCTCTTCGGAACATCCCCTGTTATTAAGCTCGGCGATCATTTCAAGAAGGTCAGTAATCCTTCGTTATAGCTCAACGCGTAAAATTTAAAAAATTTCAATATCAGATTCAACAATTCCAGAAGCGTTTCAAGAAGATCCCAAAGATCATCGAACTCGATCACTTGACGGTTACGGGCGATGTCTATTTTGGTCGCAACGTTACTCTTCGAGGAACTGTCATCGGTACGTTGTCCTACAAAGTATGTGCCTTCTTCATCTAACCTAAATCTTCTTTCAGTCGTTGCAAACGAAGGCCAGCGTATTGACATCCCTGACGGCTGCATCCTTGAAAACCGTCTACTTTCCGGAAACCTCAACATGATTGTCAGTTTTATACCTTTCTTTGTCAGTTGGGTTTACTAATTCATGAATGTTCGTAATGCTGCCAGGAACTATGATCGTTCGAGACCAATCGCGCAACCAACAGTTGCATATACCACGATCAGTTAAAGCGAAAATAGCAACGAACGATAGGGATCCATAGGGCCGGGATTTGAGGATGCGCGACTTCATCTGTTGTGTGTCACCTCTCGATAATAATTCTTCTGTCTCCTACGTAGATGTGTTTCCTTTCTTCTCGGACAATAAAGCATGGAGCGTGCTGAAGTCAATATAACCTTGCGAGACACAACGTTTCCGTGAGAGAGGATTGGATGTCGCAGAAACAATTGATAATAAAAGCGCATAAATCCTCCAAAGACTTGGCAATATGTATGCGGAAGGCGGCCTTCATTCGATCCTTACGAGGAAGGCTAGCATCAATGCTTATGCTTAGCAGCAGTAAAATTTTGCCACTATAACTTTCTAAGGCTATGTTTCGATCATAACTAATAGGACAGTTACGGTCGGAAATTCGGTGGTAGGACAGAATAAGCTTCCTCCATAAATTATTCCTCTAGTGGATGTTCCACAATGTTCCGATCATAATAACTCATGATAATAATATTACAAATTAGATATTTCTAACTGTAGAGGGGAAAAGGAGAGCAGAGCAGAGTAAATACAATTTTTCCTTGAGAAAGCAAAATCGACACATAAACCATATGTATAACATAACATCATAAAAAGAATTCAGAGAATTCAAGCGAACCGCATCTCGAATTCCTCAGGACCGGTCTGAGTTAATCGATAACTTGTTCCTTCGTTAAGACCATTCTGTCCTGCTTCTTTTAGGTTGAATAGCATTCGACTGCCTAGGATACAAAGGAACGAGGTGCTCCCGAGAGCGTATGTGATGGTTTGGGTTACTACGCTGGCTTCCCGGATAGCGAATTGGAGCAAGTTGAATAAACAGCATATTATGACTCTGATTTGATTTCGAAATTTCAAATAAGAAAGAAGGCCAGTCAGTAAATTACCTTTTTTTTCAAAAAAGATTGTAGGGTAGACACAGAGAAGCTCGACTCACAGGGCGAAATACATAATTTGATCAAGGACAACGATCTTGACTAGTGTCAACCCTTTGAAACCAGCAGAGAGTTGCCAAAATTCAACAGCGCGAGCAAGCGTTAAACCCATGATAAGGAGTTCATAAGCCAGCGGTATAATCCTGATTGAGAACCCCGATGAAAATCATTTGATTTTGCAAGAATGACAAGGTTACGTACCAGTCTATTATAAGCAACTGCAAAGACAATGCCTTTCCGACCGTACATAGTGTAACATTGTCCGACAAGCGAATGGCAGTGACTGAAAGTAAAGGGGGAAAAAAGTTTGGCAAAATGGCGCGTATGCGGCCGATATATCACACGCACCCTCTTGAGCATGTACAAGGTAGATCAAGGCTCCGAGGCGAAATCCTTCCTCCATCACGAATAATATTTTGAGTGGCATCGATAATCTTCGTTCTGCATTATAGTTTGATTAAGGTAGCTCTTATCACATAAGTCCTTGCAACTCACCGTAGCAGTAAAGAGCCAGAACTCTATGCAGGAGGATGTCTGCAGTAGTTTAGGATTATCCATACATAATATGATGGGTCCATCGACACCAGCTTACAGTCGATTATGACTCGGACAGTCAGGTCTAGCAGAGCGGCCGTCGTAAGTTCACATATACACAAAGTATTGGGTGACATAGAGCTTACCGGAAAGACTTTTCAGCCAGGCAGTTGCAGAACCTGATAATTGTCACTTGCATGCAATGTACCAAGATACTGACGAGACTTACAGCTATATATGTTATTGTGAACCAATCGAATCAGTTCGATGAACCTCCTTAAGTTCGATTGTGCACATACGAAGTATGATTTGCCGAGTACGTGCTCCCTTCAAGGTCATGTTTGCGTTATTCGCTAGTCTAGCTCAATAACGAATGGTAAAGAACGAACAGTACAAGAATGCAGCAGGACCCATTATGCCGATGTAGCGATTCTAAACGTTCAGTCAGTGATGTGAAAGCAGATCCGGTACAATGACATACTAGAAAGAAAGCAATATTGACAACACTCCGTGGAGTTTTCTGAGCATCCAAGCCACATTTAGGGTTAGAGCATAACGAGAAGATCGAGGAAAGGGGTTCTGACCCAGAAGTACCGGACCTTAAAAGGGGTCATGGATCCGTTAATACGCATCCCAATCTATAGGAACGTACGATTATACCTCTTTATCCATTGTGGTAGCTGCACCGTTCTGTCAGCGGAAACTATACAAGTTTCACCAATGTCGCGTACCGAGATCATACACCAAAAGCGTCAGAATCAAGACTTGAAAGTACGTGGTGTAGATCGTGCTTGACAATAGGAGTGTCACAACATCAGGGTCTATACCATCGTTGGTGTCGCTGCTACTGTCATTAGATCGTATGACGAAGGTCATTTGCTATGGGTATAATGAGGGTGAACGCGGGATCATAAAGAACACCGTCGCTGGGGAGGGCGTGAGGAGGTATATGTACGGGATCAAAGTCTGACAGCGGTTACACTGGAGAATTCATTTAGATTAAGTGTCCTTAGAGGGTTTGATACCTGATTTGACAAAGGCATGATTATGTTGGGAGTGATCGGGAGAAGATTCTAAGAAAAGAAGCTATGGGCGCGTTCCTTTGGAATCCTCATGTAATCCCGGAAGCTTTAGAAAAAGCTAGTGTACTCGTGAAGCTCGAAACTAGACTATTCGCAGCAGAAATATACATTTGAAATAACTAGAAAAAGGCATATGCTTAGTTGAATACATTTTCTAATCTGAAAGGTACTCAAATAGCCGTAGGGAGGCTTACTCGCACTCGTACCAAGTCGGAAGGTCACGAGTAAAGGAGCACCATATAGCCCAGAGTCAAAGTCTATTAATATTCATAAGAGACTTGGCCAAGAAACGCATCTCTTCGAAGCATTGACCAGATATGAGACGGCATAGAGATCGGACAAGTTTCACGCCACCAAAATTTTCAGGTATTTCCGATCATGGGCTAGGTGTGCGATGATCGTGCTTAACAGCGCATTATACAGTCGTTCAACCATGTATCAAGAGAATCTCCGCATCACTTTCTCCAAAAATATGTCCCTCACAGGGTGCCCATACATGGTGTGCAAGGAAAGCAGTGGGTACATCTTGAGTGAGCGCGAGATGCTGCGAGTTATTTGAGAAATGTTCGGATTACGTAACATATCCAGAACATAATGTCGGCGACTCGGGACGCAGGAGACATATCTTGGTGAAACACAGCAGTACACAGCAGTACACAACCTCAAGCAGGGGGAAAGATAGATGTAAAGGACAGTGATGGAGGAGAATATAGTTCTAATTATGGCTCTTTTGGGTGATTTGGGATATTACTGCTGCTTGCATAATTCCTTAGAATGGCAAGATCACGTGATTTTTTCGTCACAAAGTTGAAAAACACAAAGAAAATACAACATCTCACTCAATCCTTAACATAAATGTGTACTATTAGTACCTAAATTCATACTTTCAAAA